TACTCATTCTATATTCTTTTCAGAATCAAATACACGGCGAATCATTTGCATCTCGACAAATGTTTCATATCTGAAAGAAGAACGTTTGCAAGTAGTATCGACTAAAGAATGAAACAAGAAAAAAATCAGTGTGTTATATTATTACATTATGAACGAGCAATAACAAATCAGTTATCTTACATGATATTTTTGAGTACCTGATATCTACTATTCATTTTCTACCCTAAATGATTACCTGGATTCTGTATTAGCTGGCTATTGTCACTATTTACTCAACTTTCATTCTGTTCTTAAATCGAAATTTGATCTTCTTTGCCAACATATATGGCCACATCAAGTCATTTCTATTATATTGTCCCATGACAATGATACATCAAATCAATCAAACCTATTCTTTTCTCATTTTAAACTCGAACAATTCATTCATCTTCAATCATTCGATATGACTACGATTAGTGATAATAAACACAGACATACACTGCTATATATAAATTAATTCCTTGACTGAATCGACTAGCACTACCCGATGCTTATAATTTCGTTTTGGTTTCATTGCCTCATCTAAGTCATTTAACTCTTCAAAGTTTCTTTTGCTAGGGCTTATCATTTATATTAAATCAAATTCCTAATCTTCATTCACTTGATGTCAAACTTTCATATGATAATTATCCAAAGTGAACGGATAACATATCATTATTGCCCCATCTAAGATGGCTCATCCTAATCATTCATGGTGCATATAGTTATTTGAAAATTGTAAATATATATTCTTTGTTTTTTAAAATTAAGGTAAATAAAAAAGACCATGATTCATGTAGAACAATTTTTATCTAAAATATCTAATCTATATTATTTCGAACTTATTGCACAAGGTTATCTGGATCTTATTGATGACCAAAAATGGGAATTACTTGTTTCACATTTGACTATATTTAACTTTCGATTGCATCTTCCATGTTCATTACCACATTCTCCCGAAGAAAATATTCTTGATTCATTTTGTTCACTATTTTGACTTGAACAAAAACGCTGATTTGTTGCCTATGATGGTCCATATTCGCGAAATATCTTTATGGTACCTCGTTTTACATCAAATATTTTCGTATGCCCGAATATTTGTTGGCCACCAATATGCATATCGTCTAATTTCTATTTTGATAAATATATCCATCAAATTGATTTATCATTATTTAATTCAATTGTTTAACGTTTTATCAATGTCACATCATTCGTATTCAATATAGAACAAGCGGACACCAATCTTATATCGACTTCATTTCTCGTTCTCATTGAACATATGCCTCATTTACGTTCACTTTCGCGTCAAGATCTCTCTATATTAGCTGGCTTATCACATGATATCGTCTTCGAAGCGATACGAACTTTACACGTACGAAACAATTTTGAAAAATTTGAAAGTAAAATCCATTATCGATTGGACCTAAATCGATTATGTAGTTTTATTAATTGATCAATTGAACTATCTATCAATTGCACAATTTCAATTCTATTATCATTCATCGTCATTGACGCGTTTCTCACCTCAAAGCTTTTGCTCTAAAGATATTTCATCAAATGTGAGAGTGAAATGAGATGGTCTCAGGTTTTATACGACAGTTCAATGATATCTTTGAGAATAATAAGTTATAATTGAGTACGAAAAACTAATTGATCTTTATCGAGATGATAATTTTTAATTTCATTGGGCGAAAAACCGGTTCAGATCACTCGAGTTCCTGAATAGCGTTTTAAATTTTATAGTAATAATCTTCTTATCAATAAAAAGAAAAATACGAACACAATCATATAAAAATTGTCTTCGAAGAAATTTTTGTACGTTGGAAATTTGTTTTTATCTTATATTTATTCTGCTTCAGTAGGACTCTAATTCGTTCTCAAATATATCATTAATATATATTTTCTCATTGTTTTTGCTTTTCTATTCTTTGCTTGTTATTGAATATTTTGATTTTAATTATCTGACAATCGAAATTCGTGTAAATGGTATTCATCACTAACATATTGTTTGCTATAGATCATATTGATGAAACATTTTTGTTTATATGTTGAAATATTCGATACGTTAAAATGTTTTTAGTCTTGCACATTTTGCATATGAAAAATATACACCAGCTCCAATGCTTTGACTACCTGTAAATTTTATCATGTCAAATAAGTCTTGAAAAAAACTCAATCTGATATCAATATCTATACAAAAATCAAAGTTTTTTCTATATAAGATGTGTTGATTTCAATCGTTTTTCTCCAAAAAATTAGCTTTAGGACAGCAAAATTATTTTTCGTTTCAACTTAGAAGAAGAATGAATATTTTTTGAATGAGTTTTGATAGAAACTAGAGAGTTTCATACTTGAAAACAGGAGATTAAAGTGTATTTAATCATATATTAGCACTATGTGAGAATCACATGGGCCCTTTTCTAATACTCAACTATCGTAATATTCTGCTGCACAACTAACGCTTTTCGGCAGAATAAGAGATAGAAATAAGGATTTTTGTAAACTTTTTACATTTACAACTAAAAAAATGAAAAGATAAATAAAGTTGAATTGCCATGCGTTTTTCTTAAATCTATTGCCATTTTATGTGGAAATGGCATGAATCGGACAAAAAAAATCTTTGAGCACAATTCGTGCGAGATTCAAATGTGGAATATGATCGAATCATCTCAAATATCCAAAGGAAATACTTCTTATTTTTGTTACAATCCATCATAAGATTTAAGTAAGAATTTCGAAAGAAGTAGCTTATGTTCATTTCGCTTGATTGAAACATGTTTTAGGAAAAAGCACATCATTTATCAAAAAAAACAATCACTAACAAATTTTCGCTTTCGCAATAAGCTTGTCTGAGTCAATAATGATTTTTTTGTTCGTCTAATATTCTACATTTTAAACAGGAAATAACATTTTCATTTTACTCGATAGCAAAAGTCAATCCCCATCAAGAATTTGTCTTATTTTGTACTGTTGGACAGTTAGCCATCATGGGAAAATCAACAGCAGAAAAGTTTGTACGCCATCATGCCGATTATTAAGAAAATGTGTCTACAATGAATGACCTTGGCAATGTAACATCGATAGCCATTGAGACAATTCTTATCGGCTAATACAGAGCATTTGCTAGAAGTCTTTCGAAATTGATGTAGAAAATTAAATAATAAATATACCATTAGTGATATCAAATAATGGTGTTGCAGTATCAACTAAGATGCATGGTAAAATAATAACTCTTTGAATGTTGCTATTTCTTTGCTTTCTTCTCCTGAAAACATAAAAGTAAGGAAAATTTTCAACCAAAAACAATGATAAATCAAATTGTTAGTTAGTTCGATATATTTTTTCATTGGAATAATAAAATTGAATTCATAATAAACATTCGTTTCCTCTAGTAATCTCTTTTTGACAGTCATATATAAACATCTTTTTTTCTCTCACTTTGCTTGGATGATTGAATTATTTCGATATTTATTAGTTTTTTTTTCTAGCAAATGTTATTGCATTTGATTTGATTAATATCAAAACAATAAACAGAACAGATTGATTTTTTTTATTCATTGAAGAAATAACTGAAATAAAGTCTTTTTTTTAAGAAGAATGGAGAAACTATTCGACTCTTCAATTTATAACCTATGTTCATTGAATATCTTATTCAGCTGGTCTACACTTTTACTTTTCTAAGAAGAACTCTTCATATGTCGATAGACCGTAAATTAAATCAACTAAAAGGAAAAGATTATCTTTAGTTCAGATATGAGATTACTCTTCATTAGAGATTGGATCTTTATCTAGTAAATTTGAATAGAAATATCAGCGAATATTTTAATTTGTGCTTGATTAGATAAACCTTGAAAAGTCATTGAATCAACTTCGATAAATAAAAGATTGATTAGGATTTTCTCGATAACTATCTAATGTTTCGAACTGACAATAGAGAATAAAAAATCGTTGTATTGTTTCTCATATTGACAAAACGTCTTGTAACCAAAAGGTCTAATGATCAGATAATCGCTGGGAGAGACGGAGAGGGAACTGATGTTAATCAACTCTATGGGATCTTGTCCTGATCGATTAGAAAAATCATCATGTGACGAAATGACCACTTGGTACCAGAGAAGTTCCAGCGTTTCTCTAAGATTTTTTTTTCTCTATTCAAAATCATGACTGTTTATGTACTGCTTATTTTCTTTGTTGACAAAAACATGATTTTGTACGTTATATTTTGTTTGTGTTCTGGCATTGATGCAACCTACATTTTTATGTTGGCAAGAAGAAGATCTAGTTTTTCTTCTATCTAGCGTCTGTTCTCTTTTGCCCTAAGAAAATAAGAGAAAAAGCAAAAAGTGGGCAGATATTTGTGCACGTATAAAAGAGAGCGAGTGGGATATATAAGTGTGTGTTTGCTTAGATAAATGACGATGACACTATCATTATCATACTTATTGTCGACCAAAACACGTTTTTTTTTTGTCCAGGTCTTTTCTCTTATTTTTCAGATGTCATCGGCTAATTGAATAGTTTCGAATGTTGGAATTAAATATACTCAAATCTTTATCAACAATGAATGGCATAAAGCAACAAATGGAAAAACATTTTCTCTCATCAATCCAAGTACAGGAGAAGAAATCTGTCAAGTAGAAGAGGGCATTAGAGTATGAATCTCTATATGTTCTTCATTGGTTCATTATCTATTGTGATTTTCAGGCTGATGTTGATAAAGCAGCTGAAGGTGCTCAAACAGCTTTTAATATTGAATCACCATGGCATAAATTAGCCTCTCTTTCTTTCTCTCAACATAAGACAATATGTAGAAAGTGGAAACACTTTACAATGGTTAACTAGTAGAACAGACTAAAGGTGAAATATTTTTCTCAGTTGATTGTACTGAAACCAACTGAACAAACACCACTTAGTGCACTTTATTGTGCTGCTCTTATCAAAGAGGTAAGATATTATCATGTCAATTATACTTTGTTGTTGTCATGACGATCTTGACTGACTTTCCACCAGATGTTGTCAACATCATACCAGGTAAAGTGAATGATATTTGTCATAATAATTTCATAAGAATATTTAGGTGGTGGGCCTGAATGTGGTTATGCAATTGCTGTTCATGCACATATTGATAAAGCAGCTTGTACTAGCTCAGTAGAAGTAAAAGCATTCACTAATAAAACTAAAAAAAATAAATGTGAAATGTTTGAGTGAAGGTTGGAAAGAAAATACAAGAAGCAGCAACTAAATCAAATCTTAAATGTGTTACACTTGAACTTGGTCAGTAACAAATACAGGATAATTTTCATCTGAGCTATCCTCTTTCCACATATCGGTGAAAAATTTCCATTGATCATCTGAGGGTGAGGATGAGTATTCTATAAGACTTTCAAATAATCAAATTGATTCTAATACTGAACAAGGATCACAAGTAATAACCTCTTTAATCTAAAGAAAAGTTCCCTTTACTTGTGTATGATAGATAAATGATATTCAATTCCAATAGATTTTGGATTTTATAGAATCAGATGACAAGTTTGGAGATAAATTAGAATGTGGTGGTGAACGAGTTGATAATAAAGATTATTTTATCAAAGCAACTATTTTTAGTGATGTAAAAGATGATATGCAAATTACTCGTGAAGAGGTATAACATTGTTTTTTTTTATTAGATTCTATAATAATGTAAAAGTTTAGATATTTGGTGCAGTAATATCAGTCTTAAAGTATGATTCATATGAAGAAGTTATCAAACGAGCAAACGATACGACTTTTGGACTTGGTGCTGGGGTAATAACTAGAGACAGTAAATTTGAAAGAAATGATTATTGATGATTATTCTAGTTTTTCAGTAAGATGTGGTCTTACGTTGGCTCATGAAATATGACCTGGCTCTATTTGGATAAATACTTATAAGGCTATATGTAATCAAGCACTATTTGGTGGCTTTAAACAATCAGATCAGGAAAGAAAATTAG